GAAAATCCACCAGTAAAAATCTATGCACGTGTTTTAGGCTCTTGCTAGTGCTCCAGTTGGAGAGAAAACTTCACACCTGAGACACTAGTTGGTTTGTGGGTGGGTTTGTCATTTGCTTAGGTTTGTTTAAATCCTCTTACTTAAAAACTTCTGTCTGGGAAATGCACTTTCAATCCCCTCCATATTACAAACAAGGCTGCAGGAGGAACATGCAGCCGCTTTTCTGGTGCATAAGCAATAGCAACAGTGAAAGTTTGTTTTGTCCCTTTTAAATTACAAATCTTAACTGGTTTGCTGTAGGATCACAATCTTTTAAGTGGGGAAAAAATCAACATGTAACACTAATAAGCAAAGTTACATTTTCAGAGATGCTGAAATGTGATAGAGAAATGATAACTTGCTCCAGGTTATCTAAGTTATCTATGTCTTTATCAGCTTATCTCTATCTTAGTATCTAAGGTATTTGTTCTTTGTCTAAAAGGCTTTTGCACAGTTGGAAAGAAACAATTTTCCTGTTGAGTTTTCCACTTTATTCTCTTCAACCTTCTGCACCAAGCAACAAAATGACAGCTAAGCCTTTCCCTCATCCTGGGGTGTTAGTGCTGCTCACGTTTCTCACTCAGCATCAAACCAGCACAGCATAAACCAGAGGTGTAAATCAGTTTCCAAACCGGAGACGGGGCAGGGAACGCACTGGTAAGGAAGAGATTCCACCCAGGGTGGATGTCTCCCCAGCAAAAATGATCTGTGTTCTATGTCCATATTGTAATATTCAGCTACCAAATACTGAACCCCAAAGCTCTGCAGGATCAAAACCTGAGGATTCCTTTTTGTTAAGCTCAGAAGGAGGCAAAAATAATAAATAGTGAATTCTATTCACTAAAGTTTCTTCAGAAACTGAAATCCAAATGATTTCTTGGGATGTGAGTGAGTAGAGCTCTGCTTCATGACCTACAGAACTGGAGTTCAACAGCAGAAATCTTTGCATTTCTTATCACAACCAGCTCAGATAAATCAGGATTTAAACCATCTGCTTATTGCACGAACAGAAATGATGATATTTATTGTCTTGCACACTGAAAGTGCCTTATCCACACAAAAATCTGTCGGTGCAACACACTGAGTGCAAGTTGTAAGAAGAAATTATTCTTGAGAGCTACAGTGGCAACTAAAACCCAAGAATATTTAGAAAGATCTTGCTTTGGTTTTACATTTGCTTCACCCTGATGCTTTCACTTGGGGAAATCTTATCTTACAGACCCCACAGGATCATTAGTGCTAGCGTGGGTGAATGACTTTGCATTGGTGAGGTGACACTCCTGAAGTGCAGAGAGGGATGAGGCAGATGAGTTCTCCCAGCACTCTGCAAAGCCAAATGTCTCCAGGGACAGGTAACCCTAATTTCCTACGCCTGTAATCACAGGGTTATTCTACCTGCACAAAGAGTTAGCTGTAAACACTGCAGAGAGGGAGGAATATAACTCGTGGTTGTTATGAAACTGAAAACCTTTCCACATCTCATCAAAGGCAAAATTAGCTATGGATCAATGTATCTATTCATACAAGAATATTCCTCAGCTATGATGTATGAACAGAAACAGAAAACCAATGTATACAAATGTTAACACTGAAGACAAGGAAGGAAATCCCTTTGGTTCTATTTTTGTGCTTGTTTTGCCTAAGGCATTTCACATTTACATATTTCCTTCTAATCACATGCTCTCCACAGTTTACTCCCAGTCTCCCAGCTCAGAGGCAGCTCTTAATGATGCGTCAATAAATGCAAAGGGATTTTTGACCTTGATCTCTGGTCAGTGCCTTCAACATCAAGTCTCTGGCAGTGGAATCAAAATCAGGTCAGGCTGAATTTGAAACAGAGATATGAGGAGCTAACTCTCCATGTGTGGCAGCTGTGCACAGTATTTTACAGCCACATGACAACAGGAAGGCAAAACTTCACTGGAGCAATTAAAAAAATCACAGTGAGGCTTTGCCTCCAGGTCACTGTGTCAAGTATTACCATCATCATCACCTACATTACTCAGTTGCTCCATCAGAAGTTACTCCAAGTTCTCCAATGTGACTGTTTTAAAGCACAAGTTCACACAGTTTCCTGTCAACTAAATGAGCTCCAGTTTTCCATAAAAAAGGGCAAAAAACTCTCCCAAACTGACTGAAGTTGTGTTGGGGATGGTGGGAACACTAGGAAAAACAGGAGTGTGTTTTAGCATTTCAGCTTCTCTGCAGCAGCCAAGAAATGATTAATTATTTGGGGGTTTATTAGCAATATCACATACATTCAACCCTGTGTGTGGTGAAGAGGGAAGAGAAGTCAGACTTGTTCCGGTTTCAGTATTTACCACTGACTTCCCTGAGGCCAAAATGTTAGTAAGATGCACAAGTAAGTCCAAGGTTTTCAGCATTTTCCTCAGTTCTCTGAGTTCTCCACAAGTAGAAACTGAGAAAGGCTCAAGTTGGTAATTCTCTTTAGACCCACAGCAAAGAACATATCAAGATACTTGTGTAGTTGTGGGTTCACTGTAAAAATCATTGACCTTTATCTTCTCCACTGCTGTGTGAAAAGGATAATTTAGCAGAGAACTAACATTTATCAACAACTCTACAAAGGTTTTCTAATCCTCAAGTGGCTAAAGCAGTAAAAGGGAAAAAAGGTTATGGTTAAAATGGAGTTAGCTCTTACAAGTAAATGTAATTCCTCAGATGCTACAGAAATTTCACTCTAAGTTTGATAAAGGCAAATGAAATAGGGAATAATTTACGGTTAAATCCATACAATTCGCAGTTAGCCAAGCAGGGGAGAAAACACTCCCTAGGAGCTACACTAGGCTACAGTGAGGGCACAGAGCAAGGGCACAGCAGCACAGCTCAGGAGAGATAGTTACCCCGGATTCTTTGGGTCACTGTCCCGTGAACTTCCTCCCTTCAGCTTCCTAACCAGCTTCTCACTGCTGCGTCTCAGGGACGCTCGGAGCTTGCTAAAGGAACCGCTGCGCTTTAGGGATCCCGTGCCGTCCTGCAAGAGATGAACACATGTCACACTGCAAGGCTGGCTGCCCTCCCCAGCCCTGCCTCAGACTCCTCAGCCACGAGTTAGGACTTCCTTCACTGCTGTCGAGAGGTACAGTTACCCAGACACAGAGCACAGCGCCACAGAGCTGCACCACAAGAGCTCCTTCCAAGGTGTGTCCAAAGGCCTCTCCAAGTTACTCAAAACAACCACTAAACCCCATCCCAATCCCATCCCAACCCCACCTGAGCACACCGTGATTAGCAGAGTCCAAGCCCCAACCAACAGCATTTCATCAGCCTAAAAAAAAAACTGGTTTATTCTCTCTAAGCATCTGCATTACTTACACATTTCATCAGTTCTAAAATCCACACACGAATCTGATCAAGATCACCTATGTTCAAATCCCTGTGCTTTGTTTTAACTTACACCAAAGAAAATGTGAAACACAGAACAGAATGTTGACCTATTATTGCATGTGCTGACCCAGAGAAACTTCCAACTGACCTTTCAAAGGTTTAACTCTTCAAAGACCCCAACAATTTAGTAAGATTAGAAGTGACCACCTCCTACCTCGTAGGAAAGTGGCTATGGAGGAAGAGTTGGGAGAGAAGAGAGAGCACTACTAAGCAAAGACAGACACCTGAGTTGGAGTGAGTTTATTAGAAGTTAGAAAGACAAATACACAAATCACTGAACACCAAGATTAGTAGAGAAAAGCATTAATTGCCAAAATCTCACACAAAGACTAAACAGCAATGCTACCTTAGAATAATCAGTAAGTGAAGACATCCAGAGTTCCATATTGATGTTAACCATATAATAGGTCTCTAAATACATTTTAAAGCACTTGGAGAACATGCCTTACTTTTAGGGGTTGGATTTTCTCCTGTAAAGATCACCATCATGCCATTTCAATAATACCTTGTGTGATACTTTTAACTATCTTTTTTTTTATCTTCTCCATAGTGAACAGCTACTTATAAAGGTCATCATTACTCGTTTGGGTTTTGGTTTGGTTTTTGTTTCTTGTATTTTTTTATACTAATGTATTACACAGCAAATGGTTGTAATAACATTTCGTATGACTTAAGATACATCATCTGGCAAAGCTACACAGGTACAGAAATAGAAAATAAAAATTAAAAAAAAGACACCAGCACTGGAGGAATGGCCAGTTTACAGGGAAGTGTAGCTCTGACAAGAATCTTAAGGGGGTTGCTAAAACACAGCAGTCAGTACTGAAGAGAGAAGTTAAAGCTTGAAGATGGTGCACGCCCTTCATGCAGGAGACAGTGTAAGAGCCACAAAAGGCATCTAGGCCTGTCGGAAATGGAGAGAGAAAAACTGAGTGAAACTGTTGGGAAAAAGTCAACAGTTTTCCATTTTGAACAGTTACGTTTACAGTATTTCTAGGTCACGTTCCAAACACTTGAATTTGGGCAGTACAAAGTGCAGGTTCTGGGGATCTCCAGAGCCTCTTTCACCTCCTTCTCTGCTGTGGGACTGACCCAGGAGCAGGACTGATGCTGTGAGAAGTTAGGAGGGGTACAAAACAAACACCTTCAGAAAGGGAAAGCTGCAGTGTTGCATTCTGCCAACAAAAAAAGGATGGTTGGTTTTTCAGCTGACATTGACATAAAAAAATACATCAAAGAAATGAACAAAAAAAAAAAGGAGAAAGGAGCTCAGCAAGGTGCATTCATTTCAGCTTTAACTTCTGTCAGGAATTCCCCTGGAAACCAAAGTGCAAGAAGGAAAAAGTTTTCGCTTAACCTCCAGACAAAATTCTGTTCACTCCCTCAAGGAACTGGAATCCAACTGATCTCCATCAATTCAGTTTCACAAGTGTTTTTAGAGCATTTCTCTTTGCCTATGTGGAATTTTCTCTGCTTTCCCTATTACAGTGAGGCAGCTGAAGGAATTCACCTCAGGAATGAACTGTAGCTCAATTTACACACTTTCTTTGGTGTAAGTACAGAGACCATTACTGGTAGCCACTAGATATCTATCTGGAGAGCCTTTACCTACAGCCCCTGGAATGAACAGGAATCAATATTACCCTTGGAAATGGCAAAATTCCTTGCTACCAAATGATTAGTAGATCAAAAATCTAACCAAGAATTTGTATTTCAAACTGAATCGCATCTATTGGCCATGAAAAACAGACCTCAGCTTTGCAGGTTTGATTACACTGAAGTCTAAATGCCAACTAGAACTATTAGATCAGTGAAAAAGGCTAATTATTACTATAGTCTTAAACTAAATACTATAGTAGTGATAATGATCCAAAGACAAATTTGATAGGGGCAGAGTTTGACTCCAGAGCAAACACACAGACTAAGCAGTAAGCTTTTGGGTCCTTCAGATCTGGAACACAAACTCCCAACTCAACCACTGACTCCATGACTAACAAAACACCTTTAAGGCTCAGGATAGAAAAAAATAATTCCTAAATCCAGAGTAAAACAACAATAAAAAAATATTGCCACAGGAGATTTTTATGGCAAAGTTTAATTGCCAAATTGATGTCACTCAGAATGAGAATCACCACGTTAGATCTGCTTACACCTCCTACCATCATCTCCTGGATTTGTCTGCTACTGTGTCCCTCTGCCTGACACTAAGCAAGAGCAACTCTTACCAACCTATGCATGGCAGTGAAATTTATTGCTTTCATTTCACATCTGAAAACTGACTTAGGTGCCCAAAGGCTTTGCCTTTTGGAAGCACAGGGGTCAGAGTAAGAAAAGATACTCCTCACACTAAAAACATCATCTCAACTTCAGCCCTGGCACAGCACAAAGGTTTTTATTCATCCTGCAACAGGTGCAAAGTCGCCTCACACAAATGCCAGTTGCAGGTACTGACTTATTTTCTATATACAAATATAACAAGGGATCCAAACCTTGGCCTTTCTGCCTTAAATTTTTAAGACCAAGTATTTCTTTGCATTTTTGAGTCTTCTGTTCACTTAAGGAAAGGACTTTAACACAAAAACGCACTACACAACCTCACCTAACCTGTCTGTTCCAACAGTTAGTGGCAGATTTACTTCAATAGGTTTTTCAGTTCTTCTGTGAGAGTCTAAGACACCATATTAAAGCATATAATGCTTAATTAGACATGGAAGTCACTTGATTACATCTCCCAACAAAATCTTTTAGCTGAACTTTGTGACTTCACTTGTTCCACCTATTCTGACTGCAAAGAGCAGGTGTCAGCTTGGCCACCTGGGAGGGATTTAAGGCAGAGCTCTCTTCAGGCTCTGCACACCCAGGGAAAGGATTATGCTCTGTGAACCAGAGGATTTTGTCTGGAGGGAACACACGAGGGTAAAAAGAACTACATGAGAGAGAGGGAAGAACATCACTGAGATAGAAACACTTGCAGGGTAGAGGGAGAGAGAGTTGCCCACTTCATGTAAAACATACAAAATACCTTCTCTTAAGAAGGGAAAAAAAAAAAAAAAAAAGAAGAAAAGATGAGACTAAAGCAATGCCACACACTAAAAATGAAGTTTGTTTACCCTGAGAGGTCCAAATTTAGCTTTTCAGATCAATTTGCCACGGAGTTTGATTCCAATATTGACCTAGAAATACTGTCTACTGCTTTTCCCCAGAAGGCCCTTTCCATCCAAAACCTGCATGCATTAATTAATGTCAATACCAGAAAAGTTTAATCCACTTAGAACACGTAAGTCATGCAAAGTACAGTGAAAATTAAGGGAGGAGTACAGTACACAGTTCCAATGCTGGATGGGCAACATGAGCATTAAAAAGAGAGTTATCCAACCCGACTTTGGCTTCATTAATGATGCAGTTATTACTCACAAGAGATGCTGATTGACTGTCTTGGCACTGAGAACACCAATGCCAAGAAAACATTAATAGAGACAAAAGCAAAGATGGAAAGAACATTCTCCTTTAAGCACTGTGTGTTTTACCCAGGTTTCCTCGGGATGCTAAGCTTAGTCTCACGTGGCTAACAAAAAGATGGGGGCAAAAAAAAAAGATTGCTACTGTAAGAGAAATGAAGCTTCAGGACACTCAGTATGGCAAAGTAGGCTACTTCCCCTCCCAAACAGCAAAAGCAGCAACACTTTGAGAGTCTAACAGTATTTCAGCAGAGCTACGACTGGGAGTTAGTCAACAGGGCAATCCATATCCCATTGCCAGCAATGGGATAAAGCATGAGAAAGCTGGTGACAGAAGCAAACAGCTACATAAGGCAGAGCAATAACTGAAAGCTTGCACTGTCTTTTGAATTAAAGGAGAACAAGGGTTAGAAAATGCATGTAATCACATTATACATAAGATAAACAGGTTTTTACTTCATGACAATCAGGGTAACAGAGTGAAGCCAATACATGGGAAAAGAGAGGAACAAGCCCTTAGTCCAGTCAGATTTTACTAGGGGAAAGTGATATAATTTCCTTGAAGAAACATGAAGTCACCATCACACTGCTATGTGATGGCACTGCCCCTTAAAATGCATTGGATACCAGCTGGGAAAGTTACATTCCCTCCTCCAGCAAGCTGGGTAAGGAGGAGATGGGAATTATTTTAGTGTTAGACTGGTCACTGTAATTTACTCTCAAATTTCTAACACTCAATCCCTCTCCAGAGCAAATGTTCTTTGTGATTCCAACTGCTGCAGCATTTTGAAGGAAACATTCAAATATGGCATCAAAAGGACAAAAGCAAAAGTCAGTTAATTGCCAGAGTATTTCTACCAGTAAAAAAGAAACCACTGACAAGCAACTGTAGACCAGACCACAACCAGGACACTCAATCAGCATTACACAACTCGGCCTCAAATACAACTGCTTGGGATTCGTGCAGAAACGTCACCACTCAGCAAAACAACAAATTTTCAAAGTATTCCACTTGTTTTCACCTGATGACAAAATGTTATTCTTCATTTCTCAATTGATTTGCAGAATTACACAAGCACAAAGTAGATCAACCAAGACGATAGTGGGAGGGCAAGAGGCTGGTGAGAGGACACCCATGTTTGTTATGGTGGTGGTTTCTCTAGGCTATGGGGTTAAACTGTGTACTGTACTTACCCCGTTCCACTCTACGCTCATACTCACTTCCTCGCCGCCGTCGGGGCCACTCTCGTACTTTACCACATCCACATTGAGGCTCTCTCGGCTTCGTCGCTTTTCTATGCTCTCAGGGTCATTCAGCACTTCAGCAACTCTCTGTTTGTGAACATTGTCAAGACCCTGAGAATTAGATAAAATGGGAAAAGGCTTTATCTTACAATCCTAGAACCATCAAGGTTGGAGGAGACCTCTAGGATCGTCGAGTCCAACCATTAACTTGTCACTGCTGGAACCCCCAAACCCTAAACCAGATCCTCCAGTGCCACATCCAGATGCCTCTGAAGTTCCTCCAGGGATGGTGACTCCACCACCTCCCTGGGCAATATCCCAGTGCCTCAACACCCTCACAGGGAAAACATTTCTCCTCACATCCAATCTGATTCTCTCCTGTCTCAGCTCAAGGCCATTCCCTCTAGAACATGTGTTCAAGAGGCATTTGGACAACGCTCTCAGGCCCCAGTTGGATGCAGAAACACAACAGTTAAAGGTTTGACAGCTCCTTACTAAAACTAGAACAGTATTACTGCCAAAGGAGATTTCTAACAGAAACTCTCCATTTTCCCTCAGCTCCATCCTCTCTCCCAGGACATGGAGCCAACTGACCATTGCTGGCCAAGACAGTGTTTTCTGCTCTTCTCCTTTCCACATCAATTTACCCCCAGTTTGAATTATGCCCTCAGTACATGGTGCCACTGCCCTAACAGCTGATCAGATTGCAAGTGTTGAGACACTATCAGTTTATCACCAGTTCAGCCTGAAATTAGAGGGCAACAACAGACACCGAACAGCTGAAGTTTATACATTCTGCAGGTGTGACAGATCCTGAAGTGGAAAATCTGCATGACCACAATGCAGAAAGAGCATGAAGGTGACTTTTCACACTTGCCTGTTTACGAGACCTCATTGCTGCCTCTTCTAATGTCTCAGCAGCTTCAAATTTGCCCTGTCGTCTGTAAAGTGCCCCAAGGTTCTTCAGAGTAGTTGTTACTGTTGGACTGTTTAAAGAAAAAAAAAAGCAGTAAGACCCATTATACACATACATACACACACACACAAAGCTCTTCTCAAGTCACTAATAAAAGCTTCAATTAATACAGTTTTTATCATATTTTGGATACTGATTTATTAATTCTCTCTTGAAATATGTATACTGTACACAGAATAACCTGCTGAGCCTTTCAAAGTGCATTAATGGCTCACACTGTGATGAGTCAACATCCCTGAAACTGGAGTCCTACATCCTTGTGTCCCTCAGATGCAGATCAAGGTGAAAGCTCAGCTCCAAAGGAATCACTGTGAAGCTTCCAGAAATATCTGCTTACTCATGCACACAGTGACCATTACTGCAGTGTGTGTAAAGTCACAGAAGTAATGAGCAGTTTCTTTCACCAGCTTTTACCTAACACCCATTTTCAGTTTCTGTGCATTCAACCTGTGCCTGAACAGCAAAAAACCTGCCTGTTCCATACATTAACAAGTCTCACACTCCAACAAGGTATTTTGGTCTCAATGACACAAAATCAGCTCAGTTACAGTGTTGCTATGTGAAGTTTTGCCCCAGTGACAGGAGAGAGAAGCTTTTCTCATGCATCAGAATGAACTGGTACATGAGAAACAAACCAACAAAGCACATTGCAGAATTCAGGCAAAAAACCTGCCTGTTCCATACATTAACAAGTCTCACACTCCAACAAGGTATTTTGGTCTCAATGACACAAAATCAGCTCAGTTACAGTGTTGCTATGTGAAGTTTTGCCCCAGTGACAGGAGAGAGAAGCTTTTCTCATGCATCAGAATGAACTGGTACATGAGAAACAAACCAACAAAGCACATTGCAGAATTCAGGGTGGAGGAGAGCAGATTT